CCCACCACATCACCTGCCGGTTCCCGCAATGAAATCTTTATATAGTATCCTTGGGACCAGCAGTTAGCGTAGTGGCTATGTAGCTGGACTCCCACATAGTTGACCGCAGTTCACGTCCTGGAACCAGTGGCTTAAAACTCATGCCGGGCGTGTGTGCGTGTGTGCCCAAGATCCCAAGAGGAGAATGGAGGAGAAGGGATTGCAGCGTGGCCATCCCCCCTGGTGGATGATTTCTCGCTTTCTTTCTCTCTGTCCCTCTCTGTCTCTGTCTGCCTGGTGAGCACACACACCCTGAAGCAAAAACCTCTAAAAAAAAAGCTCTTCCCCTCCTTCTTCCTCAGCTATCCTTTCCTCATAGTCATACCCTAGACTTCATAAACATCCCTCCAGCTCACAATCCTGACTTGAAAAGCACCCCATTATCCAACCTCCTCCTCCTAGTCCCTGCTCTATCCCTTCCTACTCCAGCTCTTCCTTGGCTGCATCAAGATCTCCAGGCCTCTAAGCCTCTCCACTGTTACCTCCCTTCTGCTGTAGCCCATGTTTATCCCTGCCCAGATAGCTCCCCTGCCATTACTACAGAGTTCCTTTGTAAACTCCCTTAACCCTCTCATCTCTGCACTACTGTGAGCCCAGGTAAAACCCAACACCTCGCTTTCTCCTAGCCAGAATTCAAGCTGGAAATGGAGGCTGGAGAATTGCATCTCCCTTTTCTAATTGGTTTGCTTTAATGCCATATCTACACATCTAAGATGGAACCTCCAAGCTGCATGGGAAGCTGAGACATTTCTCTACTATGTTTACATTTTCAAAATTTTCTGTAATGACTTACTCATAGCTTCCCCTCAAAACTATGCATCACCACAATATCTCTTCATGTCTGTAATCCTCCTTTGACTTCTAGATGCTTAAAATAAAATGCAAACATTGCAGGAGCTTCTTATCCACTGTAGTGGGGAGCACTGTCCCCATCTGTCTCTATGCCCTCCCTCTGCATGAGGCCCCCCACACACACCCTTTTTTCACGCAGGTGGTGGTCTCAGTCCCCACACACCCCAGGCGGGGCTTCCTGGCTGCCAACTATCATCAAGTCCCTCATGTTAACAGACTCTGTATCCTCTAGAATAGAATTAAGCCTTTTCCTTCTCCACCTTGGGGGAGCTCATTCCTTTCTGTCATTCAGATGTCAGGTGAAATGGCATCTTTTCAGAGTATCCAGCGCTGACCATTTCATGTGACCACCAGATAGCCTCAACATGGCCCAGCTATAACCCTCCACCTGGGATTTCCCACTCCCTGATATGTGATGGATCTTCAAAAAGTTAATGAACAATGCACATTATGAAAAAACTGCATGGAGTTTAAAAAATGTTTTTTGCACTAAGATAATCTTATACTTTAATTCCATTTTCTATGAACTTTCTGATGGCCTCTCATATTACTGTTGGCGACTTCAGGAGAGAAGAAAGCTTCTTTTTTGTCCACTGCTTTGTCCTCTGCTCCCTGAGCATATGGGAAACTGAAGCCTACGCGTGTCCGCATAACCATTGATCAAATGAAGGGCACATGAGTGGAGGAACAAGTGACTCCCTCCTGAGATGTTAGATATCAATGCTGAAATAATTACAGGCTTCTCTCTTTGAGGTGATTTCAAAAACCGAATGGACCACGTCCTCTCTTCTGAGTGCTGAGCTCTTGTTCTCCTCCAGGCTCTCCGTTCAACTAAGTATACGGACGTTCGCTGCCAGCGGGCTGGTGTTCTACATGGCCCATCAGAACCAGCTGGACTATGCTGTACTCCAGCTCCATGGAGGCCGCCTGCATTTCATGTTCGACCTTGGTAAAGGCCGGACAAAGGTCTCTCACCCCACGCTGCTCAGCGATGGCAAGTGGCACACGGTACGTGTTCAGGACGCTTGTGATCCTGTCTTCCAAGATTTATTCCGTCTATCACTGGCGTTCGCACTATTCCTTTGAAGCACATTCATTCCCTTTAGTCTCTAGCTCACCTTGTGTATGTTATCTTCCCAGAGGTCGGCAGCTCTTTGATGACAGGGATCGTCTCTCTTTTTTTTCAGTGCTTTTTCTGTTTTGTTTTGTTTTAAGACCCTTGGCAGGGTCTTCACACTACAATCCACCCCCAGCCTCAGCCAGCCCAGATTGCAGGCACATGTGCACACCCGGCATGCTCAGAGAGGTCTCAGGACATGAACTCAGGACCTTTCCCATGTGGGTCTGGTTGCATGACCACTGTACCACCACCTAGTTCAGGCAAGGAAGGATCTTCTCTGCCTCCTGAGATATCCTCAGGTCCCTGCTCAGTGCCTGAAGTGTAAGCTACTCAGCAAACCCTGGTGGGATGAACAAAAGGTACCAGCGATGTTCTTGACTTGGCAAGAAGTAAATAAAGCCACCCTGGTGTGAGCAGACCACACTTTCTATTATGGCATGTACTTTCTTACCCTTTCTGGTCTGCGGCATGTTTTCTCATGCCTGCTTCTAGTCTCTTCTCATCACCAACTGTGTATAAACCCTAGCCATCCTTTAGGATTTCTTTCAGGCTATTACGGATATAATGACTAGATGTTGCAAATACATATCTGTTAAAGTTTCCTCAGCTCTTTAAAAATTATGGATATTTTCATCCTGCTGTAGGTCAAGACAGAGTATTTTAAAAGAAAAGGCTTCATGACTATCGATGGCCAAGAATCCCCTATGGTGACGATGGTGGGAGACGGAATCACGTTGGATGTGGAAGGGAAACTATACCTAGGAGGCCTTCCTTCCAACTACAGGGCCCGGAACATTGGGAACGTAAGCACTATTCGCTGTCCAGGACCCATTTTCACCTTGTTGTGGTCATGGTTATTTGGTAGAGTTTTACTGTTTTCTGTTTACGTGATCTTGTTTGAACCTGGAGCTCAGCCATAAGAGGAAGATCTGTCAGATTGTGTCCATAGACAGTGTGTTGAGGCTTCCCCTTAGAGCCTGACCAGACACCCCATCCTATTAGTTAATGAACATCCCTTCCTCAGGCACTTAGGCCCTGCACAATTCAGGGAAATCCAACAATTTGTATTTGCATATTAATAAATGCAGCTTCTTGATTTCCAAGTCATTTCATTAAAATTTAAAAAAATAATTTTACTACATAGTTAGCAAAGATACTCAAGTGATAGCTCTAACTTAGATGCTTACGTGAAATATTGTGGCAATTAAACTTTAAAAACTAAATGACAATTGTATCCTTGTTTTCTTCTATGAGAGACAGAATGAGAAACCCTTAACAGGGTCCTTCTGCTTCCCAGTTTTACTCAACCAGCCAGAATCAGGGACTGAGTGTGTACAGGCCAACCTGGGAACAGAACCCCAATCTTCCATATGGCTTCCAGCATTCCAGCTCATTGCTGGAATGAGTGTCACCACAGCTGGGCTAAAAGAGGATTTTTTTGTGTGTTTGTTGAGACAAATTTGATGAAGTACAGGAAAATTTTGTCCCAGCCCTGCTTGTAATAATCATCACCATTTGCCCTCACATGTCATTTGGTTTAGATCACACACAGCATCCCTGCCTGCATTGGAGAGGTGAGAGTTAACAGCAAACAGCTGGACAAGGACAGCCCAGTGTCTGCCTTTGCAGTAAACAGGTGCTATGCAGCGGCCCAGGAAGGAACTTTCTTCGAAGGAAGTGGATATGCAGCTTTTGGTATGCATTACCAACAATCTCCAAAGAAATCTTTGGTAATAGCCTGCATTCTGAGACAATCTGGATCTAGAAAATAAATGATAAGACAAAAGGTTACCCCAGAAGACCATGTTTAGTTACATGTTCTAGTTTGTTTCTAATCTCTTCTTCTTAAAATAAAGTTTACTCATTTCTTCCATGAGTGAGAGAGACAGAGAAGGGGAGACAGAGCGACAGCAGCACAACAGGGTCTTGACGCTGCGATCCACCTCCAGCCTCAGTCAGCCCTGGATCACAGGCACCCTTGTGCTCTGAGAAAACTCTGGTGTTCTCAGAGAGGTCTCTGGACTTGAAGTGGGAACTTGCCCATGCGGGATTGCCTTGCAGAGATTGCAATTTACCACCGCAACACAGTTCTGCCCCTATTTCTAATTTCCTGATTCTTAACATAAATGTCTGAGAATAAGAAGGCCTTTGAGTTAAAAAGCAGCAGCATAAAACATCTAGACTAGCCAGTGCCAGGGTGACCCTGGCAGGAGATTGATTGGGTGGGAGGAAGAGGAAAGTGAGCAGACTTCTCTTCTTAGCTCCGTGCTTTCTGTCACCACCCAGGCTCAGCATAGGCCCTTGCTGGGCAGTCCCCCTTCATGATCTGATCTTATATTTCTGTGGACCTCCTTGACTGCCAAGCTCTGGTGATGCCACTTTCTCCCATTGTCCCTTTGGTGCTGGGTGTGGCAGCAGCTGCCAGCTGTTGCTAATATCCCCATTTTGGCTTCTCAGATTTTTTTTCACCTAAATAATAATAATAATAAAAACACCATTCAATTAAATCCCCACTTTTAGAAAACCTATTATGAGGAGCAGTGGAAGTCCAGTGGTTAAGGCGGCTAGATCCCCTATGGTCAATTATGCAGCTTCCCTCTCAGATCTCCACCAGGTGTGTGTGCATACATGTCCAAAATTCTGAGAGGACAGTGGTGGCAGCCCTAAAGCCACCAGGACTCAATTATGGAGGCCGCACCCTAATGATCTTAATCCTTTTCTCTTCCCAGAGACCTCTACCTTTCGGTACCATAGATTAAGTTTTCACCCTCTTAATTCCATCACAAACAAATCTCAACACCTGAATTTGGGGTGGGGGGTCAGTGAAACCACAGCAATGCTGATGGGATTAGAGGAGTCAAATCCCAGCATTACAGGGAAAGTCTGCTGCAGGATGGATGGCCCACAGGGCCAAGAGGAATACCAAATGCCTTCACAGCTGCAGAGGAAGTTTGGGCTTATCTCTGCCCTAGTCTGGCATGTTCCAGCTGATTGCACGTGCCTTATATAAAAGAACTGCTTCATCTTACAGATGTGGAAACTGAGGCTCAAAAAGTAGGAGTGAGCAGCTGGAGGAGATGAAGCTAGAGGATGCAGAGGAAGAGTTGAAGCTAGGTCCCCAACCCCATCCAAGAGCCTACATGCTCAACTGCCAGTACAGTCCCACCTGTACCTCTGAACTTGAGCTAGCCTGGGCCTAGTAGGGCTCACCCTGATATGGGCTCTTCTTGTGTTTTTCAGTCAAAGAAGGTTACAAAGTGCGTTCAGACTTGAACATCACACTTGAGTTCCGCACTACCTCAGAGAATGGCGTTCTGCTGGGGATCAGCAGTGCCAAAGTGGATGCCATTGGACTGGAGATGGTAAAGGGCAAGGTAGGTGTTTCATCTGTATGGGGGGAGGGGCCTCGCCCCAGGGCCAGAGACTGAGTTGAGAATCAGGGACGCCTAGATCCACGTTTCCAATTACCCACTTTAATGGAGTAACAAAAGACTCCGTTAATATCTAACAATTAGATCGATATAAAGAGCTTTTAAAAACAAGTTCTTGTATATAAACTTACAGCAAAACTGCAACTACAATATAAATAACTTTTATTTTCTGAACCTTCTGAGAGTGAGCTGTCAATCCGGTACCCTGTTATTCCTAATGATCTTTTTTAACTTTTTGCAGCTAGGTACTATTTTATAGTATGTTCATTCTACTCACTGAGGTTTATGCCTAAAGTCAGACATGGGTTCTTGTGTATGTATATATCAGCTGTGCTTGCTATTGCAAATATTTAGACAAATTAAGTTCATTAGCAAATCAATTAAATGGGGGGTGGTAGGCATAGAAAGCAATCATGGATACCAGAGACAATGGGAGGAGGGTTGGACAGGGCAGAGGGTTAGGGATAGGGAATCAAGGATGGCAAAAAAAAAAAAAGAAAAAGAAAAAACGCAAAATATACAAGACATAAGAAATGAAAAATTGTTGATAACACGTATGTTGATGTGCTTGATTGAGCCAGCAGACAGTGTATTTTGGATGCAAAATTCATTTTGTATGCTGTAATAATGTATAGCATAATAATGTTAAAAAAAGAAAAATAAATTAATAAATAAAAAATAGAAAAAAAATTATTATAAATTCATAGGAAGTTGCAATGAAATGTACAGGAAGGCTCCCATGCTCCCTCATCCAGGCTCCCCATTGTTGACACAACGCATAGCTATAGGACAACATCAAATCCACATCCAGGACATGGCCACAGTCCAAAGTGTGCTCAGTTGGACTAGTTAGAGAGGAACATGTGTACGGGCTGTGTGTGTGTCTATGTGTAGCTTTCTACAATTTTATCATGTGTAGCTTGTGATATACATGTGTAATGCTCCCCACAATCAAGATGCATAATCGTACCCTTACCACACGTCTCCTTTAGACTAAAGCTACAACTATTCCCTACTCCTGCTTCCCTCACTATGGCAACCGCTAATCTGCTCTCCAGCTCGCTGGTTATTTCACTGGTGTTATATAAACAAATTCATGCAGTAAGTATCCTCCTGAGATTGACTTTTTACATACAGCCTAATTTGCTGGAGGTTCTTCCAGGTGGTTGTGTGTATCAACAGTTGATTATCTTTTTATTGCAGAATATTACTCTGTGGGGTACATGTACCACACTCTAATTTTTGTATGCAGAAAAATGTAATTTCTGGCATATTATATATTTTTCTTTTATCATTGGCCTGTTATGTACTGTTCTTTTAAAACATTTTTTGGAGGTTGCCCAAGAGTTTAAAATATTCATCTTTATCCTTATATAGAACTTTAATTTGTAAAAATTTACCTGAAATAGTACTGAGTTAAGTCCATATCCAGGATAAGACCCTTTCAACAGGAAACTTGAAATTCTCCCCTCCTGTCTTTGTAAGCTTGAGCTTCCAGAATAAAGTAGCATAGACTGGGTGTCTTAAGCAACAGAAATGTGTTTCTCACAGCTCTGGAGTCTGAAGTCCAAGATCAAGCTGTCAGCAGGGATGGTTCTTCTGAGGCTTCTCCCTGTGGTTTCAGCTGGTCACCTTCTCCCTGCATCCTCCCTGATAATCTCCTCTTCTAAGAACAGATTGGATTAGGGCCTATTGTCTTGATTTATTTTAACTTAATTACCTTTTAAAAGACACTCTCCATCTGAGGTCCTGAGGTTTAGAATTTCTGCATATGAAGCTTGGAGGAACACAGCTCAGCCTGTAAAATGCCCCTTCTTTTGCAAAGTCTCAGTTTGTTTGTGTTTCTACTTGCTGTGATCCAGTGTCTACAGTTTGCAGAAGGGAGTTGGGAAACATCCCCTCATAGGTGTGATTAGTTAGTTACACCGATGCTCTCTGTAAGCCTGTTAACTCCTAAAAATGCCCTAAAATGTCCTGAAAATGAAGCATAGATTGAAGGATACAGGGTGGTTTAGACTTGGTGCTACAGAGGTGGCCATTTGCCCTTTCTGAAATTTGGGTAATAGTCTGGCATCAGAATCCTTCAAGGGACTGTTTTCAAAAATTATTTTGTTGTTTTTGTTTAAGGGTTAGCTATCTTTTCTTTTCTCTCTTTCTTTTTTTTTTTGGATTGTTTTTCTGCTGTAGGGTGCATGCACTCTCCAAAGAGACAGACAGTAAGAAATCATCCCCTAGAGGGGATGACCACACCACAATACCTTTTTCTCCATTCTTCTCTCGGGATTTGGGCATGCACAGACATGCACCCAGCATGTCTGGTTTTAAACTACCAGATCTGGGACTTGAACCATGGTCGACCATGTGGGAATTGAGTGATATAATCATGATACCATATGCTAGTCCCTCGTTAGTTGTTCTTTATAACAGAATGCTGTGATTTCATCCACTCCAAGAGCATTGTAAAATTAGGCCGTGTTCTTTAAATATGGAGAAACTTACCAAGGTATTTGCTGTGTCCATTTTTTAGCTCTTGTTCCATGTTAACAATGGTGCTGGGAGGATAACGGCCACATATGAGCCCAAAGCTACTCTCTGTGATGGAAAATGGCACATGCTTCATGCCAACAAAAGCAAACACCGTGTGGTTCTGACTGTCGATGGCAATGAAGTTCATGCTGAGAGTCCACACACTCAGTCCACCTCTGCAGATACCAACAACCCCATTTATGTTGGTGGCTACCCCGGTACGTCTGGATACCTGCCCTGTTCGTCCACTTTTAAGGGCCGTTGTTAACTGAGAAAATAATAGTTTGGGTGGATGTAGAAATAGGGATTGAGAAAAATCAAGATTTGGGTGTCAAATCCTTTACCATTTTTGAAAAGCTATTTCGAATACATAGGAGTTCTTGGAAAATTAAAATAATCAACAAACACAAGTTAGTCATTAGGTTAGGCAGTGAGAACATTGGATCTAATGGAAAGTATGGGGGAGTCTTTAAAAAGTTTACGGAAAATGTTTATTATGAAAACACTATCATGGATTTTGAATTTTTTCCGCCACAATAAACATGTACTTTAATTCTATTTTCCACACCTTTTTGAAGTCCCCTTAGAAGCTGGATGTGTTTTTTCCTTCGGTGAATCCTCTTAGACTGTTTTCAGAGTTGCGATTCATTTTAGGACTGGGTAATCATTTTAGGGGCCAAATGTGTGATTTATCTTTCCACATTGATTTTGGATTAGAATAATGCATTCCTGATGTTCCAAGCACTTGTTAGAAGTAGTAGTAAAATAAACATCAGCTTTATGACTTTTTAAGCCACAACTATGCCCTAAGTAAAAGTTTCCTGTGAATTTTGCAGTTCACTGAAGCTGCATATGTCAAAAAAAAAAAAGGTTTTCTCTAAATCTGATAGAGAACCTGCTTGGGATTATTTTTGTTCCTATTGTGCTATCTCATTTTAACAAAATTAAGTTTGATTTATCTTCTCTTCTTTCCTGAACAGCTAATGTAAAGCAAAACTGCCTGAGCAGCCAGACCCCCTTCCGGGGCTGTTTGAGAAAACTGACTCTGATCAAGAGCCCACAGGTGCAGTCCTTTGACTTCAGCAGAGCTTTTGAGCTCCAAGGAGTCGTCCCTCATTCCTGCCCTGGGATGGAGACATGAAGTTAAGGCACAAGCCTTGGTTGGAATCATTGCTGATATTTGGAGGAGAATTATTTTTGTCAAAAATCTCTTCAGATTTCATTTCCAACTCAGGTTCAGTGTTTCCAGAGAGATATATTACATTAATGTTAAACTAAAAGCATATGTACAACAGATACCTCTATTAAATAGTCTAAAATGTAAATTGAAATCATTGGCTCTATTCAAGTTTTTTTTTTTTAAATAAATCTTTATAAACAGAGAACGTTATGCTTATTGATAATATTTTATGTTTTGCATTTCGGGGCTTTCAAAAAATAAACTATCACTACAGACTTATAGGTTACAGCAGAGTATGAATGTTTTCATTTCTTCACCATTTTTTTTCTTGTGGTAGTGTGTATGTGTGTGTGTGTGTGTGTGTGTGTGGCGGGGGCTGTTGGGGACAGAGTCTTGCTGTGTTCCAATATTCTGCCTCAACCTCCAATTAGATGGGACCACAGGCACATGTCACCTTGCCCAGCTTTTTAGGGTGTGCCGGGAATTGAACCCAGGTTTCCCATGAGGTCTCAGGCTGCAAAGTGGCATTGTCTATTGTGCACTATGGTGGCTAGACCATTTAACAAAATCTTAAGCTTTAATTTCTACAAAAGACTAGCAATGTCATTGGTAACATTCTAGCAGGGGACACTGACTGCCTTATGAGCCTTTATAGAGGCTCCAGCAAGTCCTAGAGACAAAGGGAGCAAAGGAAGGTGATGGAACCTCTTGTCCCTGGTCTATCAGAACCTGACCAAACAGCGCATATTACAGGACAGAAAAAAAATAATAATAAGTTAGCCCTCCTTTACTGGTAATTTTATTTTTAACCCTTGGAATAAGTTTCCCTTGATTGGCTATTTTTTTTCTGAGAGAAAGCGTATAATTGGAAAAGAAGGAAAGGTTAAAGTTACCTAGATATATTCTTTTGAAGAATTGAGTAGCTGTAAACCCAGATTTCTGAAGTCTCCTTCAGTCCCTCCCTAACAGTATTTTAGTTATGCTCTGTGGTCATGACTGGGGTCAGAATGGCTGCTATCCAAATGCTTCAGAAAAACGATTTCATTTTTCAGATGCTTACTTGAAGAGCGGTCTCTCCTCATACAGTGGTTTACTTTTCCAGTACAGAGGAGGATATAGTGAATGTCTACCAGTGAGAGGTTTTAATTTCCTAAACCAGGAAGGCAGCAGTGGTCCTTGTCCTATACCTCTTCTGTGCCTTGCTTATGTTTCTGAATCCTTGTGGCAAGCTGCCTCTCTTGGGAGGACTGTTTGAAATGATTCATTTCTTCCCTATTCAACATTCACAAGATGATATTTCATAGAGAAAGCCAGCAGCTAGCTGTGAACGTGCTGATTGTTCTATAGCACCTAGCCATGCCGGGAATAGAGACTAGCAGTCTCAAGGGAGCTGAATCAGGAAGTGGTATGAGCTCTCTCAGTGGCAGTGCAGGTGCACAAAGGACTGTTCACCGTGCCTCTTTCTGTCCATGTTTCTATGGAAACCTGCTGCAATGGGAGGTAAGTGCTCAGCTATTCTAGATCCTGGTTTACCGTGTTGGCTGAAGAAGTGACCAAAGCCAGGACAGTGAGAAGACTTTGCACTCCTTCCTTCCTCTCTCCCCAACTCCCTTGTTAACAGAACTAAAGCAGAGTGTGGGTCTTTCATGCTCCTAGCTGTTCACAAGGCTCTCTTAAAGGGTCCCTCGAGGGAAAGTCCACTTCTCTCCTCTTTGGCCTTTCTCAGAACCTACGAGTCAAGCAGTCTGAGTTTAGCTGTATCCTGTGATGTGGCAGCTGTAAATTATACCAGCTCTGACACTCACTGTGGGCCTCATGCCAGTTCCTCAGCCCTGAGCAAGGCTGGATTCAGTGCCTTAAAGTAGGTTGCCAGAACAAAGTACAGGCCATTCAGTTAAATATGAATTTCAGATAAGCAGTAAACATGTTTCTAGTAGAAGTATATCCTAAATATTGCATGTCATCTTGTATTTTTTATTTACTAAATCTTGCAACCTCGTTTTAGAGGCCCTGAAGCCATAAAATGATTCTAATACCCTCTCCCTCATTGTCAAAATTATTCAAAATAAATACCAATCTACATCTTAAAAGACATGTAGCAAAGTCGATTAAAGATCATATTTTTCCCATGTCACTCATTGATATGTCAGATTTTTTTCCCCAAAACCTATTTTTGGTGCCCTATGTTTTGTTTAATATGTTCATGAATCCAAAACTGTTGTTTTGTGTTTGTTTTTGTTTTAATTTTGGCAAAACATAGATAAATAAAAATTTACCATTTTAGCCTTCTCAAGTATATAACTCTGTGGTAATAAATATATTCATATGTGCAACTATCACCTTCATCCACCGGCAGAACTTTTTATTTTGTGAAACTAAAACTCTGTACTACGAAACAATAATTTCCTATTTCTCCCTCCCTCCAATCCCAGGAAGCCACCATTCTGCTTTCTGACTTTACAAATTTGACTACCCTAGGGAGTGCATATAAGCAGAATCATTTTCAGTTATCTGTCCTGTTAAAAGAAAAACTTTTTGGGCCTTCTCCACACGCTAGTGGTTAGGGAAGCTGGATCACACATGGCCTACTGTAGTTTGAATCCTGGCCCCTGTGGCTCAAGAAACATGCTGAGTGCATATGCGTCCAGTCAAATCCTGACTGGATGGAGAGATGGATGAAGAGGGATTGTGGCATGACTATGCCCCTTTGGGGGGGGTTGCTTTCTCTCCCTCTCTCTCTCCCTAGTAAGTACACATACCCTCTGGCAATAATAACTGAATAAAAAAAAACTTCTGACAAACTAAATTCAACTGTGTTTAATTGAGCAAGAAATTATTTGTAAATTTGGCAGCCCCCAGTACCAGAATAGCCTCAAAATGACCCTGAGGCTACTGCATGGTCAAATGACATTTATGGAAAGAAAATGGAAAGTGATGCACGGAAAATGGAAATGAGGTACAGAAACAGCTGGATTGGTTATAGCTCAGCATATGCTTTATTTGAAGTTATTTTGAGCAGTTGACTCTGAAACTTGACTGCTTGTTGTAAGAGAAGTTAACAGTCTATGTATGCATCAAGTTAGCTTACAGTTCACTATATACAGAGAAACCTTTGGGTAAAGCATAAAATATGTACAGAGGCAGCTTTAGGTCAGTTTGACAGTCTTTTGTGACTGGCTTATTTCACTTAGCAACATGACAGGATTTTTTAAGGTAGGTAACATTGCACATATCACATTTTTTCAATTCATCTATCAGCAAGTATTTGGAACGTTTCCATAGCTTAGCTATTGTGAATGCTTTAGTAAACATAAGAGTGAAAATACCTCTTCAAGACTCTTATTTTCGTTATTTTGGATATATACCAAAAAGCAGAACTGAAGATTATGTAGTATTTTTGTTCTTAATTTCTTGAGGCTCCTCCGTA